GGACGGTCACCCCCAGTGCTACATGATCTCAATAGTTCTAGCCACTGAGCAGGGATGTAAAAGGAGCGAGGACTCCCCGGGTGGTGTGAACGGTTAAGCACTCGGCTGTTAGCTGAAAGGCTGGTGGTTCGAACCCACCCAGCAGCTCCACAGGAGAATGACCCAGCAATCTGCTCCTATAAAGATTACAGTCTAGGAAAAAAAAAACTACTCTGTCACATGGGTCACTATGGGTCAGAATCAACTGGATGGCTTCCTCTCCATCTCTACCCCGGCAACCCCCTTGACAGTCCCAGAAGAGCGGAGGGAGCCCTTGGGCCCTGCTCCCAGGTCCTGCTCAAAGTCAAGGGCAGAGAATCCCAAAACTCTGCCCTTCCTGGTTCCAAGCCTGACAAAAGGCCACACACATTCCTACGAGGGGCTGGCAAAGGCAGGTCGGGGGGCCCAGCCTCCTTCAAGGTCTCTGTTGGACAGATGGTGCCAAAATGTGTTGGGGGGTGACTATTTGTCAGCAATCATAATGACCCTCACACGTCCAGAATCCTCGAGAGCTCATGAACTGTCGTCCTGTCCATTTTCTCATTACTTGGCCCTTGAAGCACTCTTTTAAGGTCAGAGTCATTAGCCCCTCTTTACAGATGAGGAAACTGAGGCTCAAGGAGACGAAGTGACCTAGCCAAGGTCATGCTGCAGATAAATGGCAGTGTCAGGACCAAGTCCAAGGCTCCAGAGGACAAATCCTGCTGACTCCCAAGGAACCTGGGGACAGAGGAGGTGGGGTAGCTGAGAATTGTTTCTGGTTGACAGTCCTGGTTCTAGCCCCAGTTCTTCCATCAGCTGGCTGTGTGACCTCAGACAAGTTAGTGAGCCTTCCTGAGCCTCTGTCTCTTTTCTTAGGACTGGAAATTGTGCCTGCCAGGTGGCTTTATAGCAGACTTCTAGGGTCCCTGCCAGCTCTTACTTTATGTCCTCTCTTCGTGTCCTTGAGCCATAAAGATGACAGTGTTCAGCAGCGTTCGCAGGTTTTATAGAGAAGCAGTAGTGACTTTGTCTCTCCTGGGAAGCTTTTCCCAACTGGCGAAGGCTGAGTTCTCAACCCACGTGCTCCCACAGCACTCACAGCATTGCATTGTAATTTATCTGCAAACTCCCAGAGGGCCAGGCAGCAAACATACATGAACATGAAGCAGGTTAGGAATAAGGCAATAGGGAGTAGTGGGGACTATGGCAAAGTAGAGAATCCCTGCCCAAGGAGCAGCTCCTACTTAGTTCCAGCTTCTTATCATCATTCAGGAAGGCCAGGCCAGTGGCACCACTTCTTAAGAGAAGCCAATCTGGATTTTTATGTGAAATCTGTTTTATAAATGCAGGCTCAAAATATATTTCAAGAAGTACTTCATAGACTTTTGAGCCCTTGGAATAGCCACATCTACTTTCCCCACTAGACTTTGGGCTACCTGAAGGCATGACAGGGTTTAATTTCTCTGTCTCTCTCTGTCTCTGTCTTTATTTCTCTGTCTCTCTCTCTCTCTCTGCCTCCCTCTCTCTCTCTCAACCCTGAGTTCAGAGACTTCTCATAAGTTTCCAGTGATTGCTTTTGAAATATTGCAAGATCGTGCCCCAGCCAAGGCCCCCACAGGCTGCTGGCAACCATACTAATACTAATTGATATGAATTAAAGAGTTACTATATGCCAGGCAGGGAGCCCTGTGGCACAGTAGTTAAGCACTTGGCTGCTAACTGAAAGCTCAGAGGTTCAAACCCGCCAGCTGCTCCATGGGTAAAAGATGTGGCAGTCTGCTTCCGAAAAGATTACAGCCTTGGAAACTCTTTGGGGCAGTTTTACTGTGTCCTATAGGGTCACTATGAGTCGGAATCAACTCAATGGCAATGGGTGTGGCTATGCTAGGCACGATTTTAAGCATTTTATATACATTATCTGACTTCATTCTTACCACCTCCCTGTTTCAGGTCGAACTGTGTCCCCTAAGAAAAGATATAGTGAAGTCCTAAACTCTGGCACCTTGAACGTGACCTTGATTGAAAATAGGGTCATTGTAGATGCAATTATGTTAAGATGAGATCATACTGGATTAGAAAACCAAACCCATTCCTGTCAAGTCGATTCCAACTCATGGCAACCCTATACGACAGAGTAGAACTGCCCCCATAAGGTTTCCAAGGCTGTAATCTTTACAGAAGCAGATTGCCACATCTTTCTCCCACAGAGCAACTGGTAGATTAGAACCACTGACCTTTCCGTTAGCAGTGGAGCGCTTAGCCACTGCACCTTAAATCCGATGACTGGTATCCTTTTCAGAAGAGGAGAAGACCCAGAGACACAGGAAAGAAGGCCATGTGAAGATGGAGACAGAGTGAAGCATCTATAAGTCCAGGAGAACCAAGAAATGTCAGCAGCCACCAGAAGCTAGAAGAGGTAAGGAAGGATCTTCCCTAGAGCCTTCGGATGGAGCATGGCCCTGCCCACACCTTGATTTCAGACTTCTAGCCTCCAGAACTGTGAGAAAATGAATTTCCAATATTTTAAGTGATCTAGTTTGTGGTTCTTTGATACTGCAGCACTAGGACACTGATATACTCCCTAAGTGGTTGTTGTTAGGTGCCTTCGAGTCAGCTCCAACCCCACGTGCAACAGAACAAAACACTGCCTGCCCAGTCCTGCGCCATCCTCACAATCTTTGCCATGTTTGAGCCCACTGTTGCAGCCACTGTGTCAATCCATCTCATGGAGGGTCTTCCTCTTTTTCCCTGAGCCTCTACTTTACCAAGCATGATGTCCTTCTCCAGGGACTGATCCCTCCTGATAACATGTCCAAGTATGTGAGACGTAGTCTAACCATCCTTGCTTCTAAGGAGCATTCTGGTTGTACTTCTTCCAAGACAGATTTGTTTGTTCTTCTGGAAGTTCATGGTATATTCAATATTCTTCGCCAACACCATAATTCAAAGGCATCAATTGTTCTTCGGTCTTCCTTATTCATTGTCCAGTTTTTGCATGCATATGAGGCCATTGAAAATACCATGGCTTGAGTCAGGCGCACCTTAGTCCTCAAAGACATCTTTGTCTTTTAATACTTTAAAGAGATCTTTTGCAGCAGATTTGCCCAATGCAATGCGTCGTTTAATTTTACTTGGATCTACAATCAATGCCCATGGAAGTAGCCCGAAGTGGTAGATACTATGATTTCATCCATTTTACAGATAGGGAAGTCAAGGCTCAGGTAGTCACTTGCCGTGCCCAAGGTCACTAGTGGTAAATCTGGGACTCAAATCCGGGCAGTCTGATCCCACAGGTGTCTGCTTACACTGCTGTGATGCCCTGCTGCCCCATGAGACCCCCACAAATCATTTCCTTCAATAGCACCTGGGGTCATTTGGACCTCACCAACAGGCTCTCCAGCCACCTGCCAGGCACGATTTCCAGTCCTAAGGGACAGTGGGAGCCAGGGCATGTGGCGTGAACAGAGATGAGAACAACACTGTGCTGCAGAAAGTGGGCCTGGGGTTCAGAGGGGAGCACGTCCCAGCCCATGCTGCACAGCAAGGTCACACCAAAATCCATGTTCACCTCTGGCCCAGGACCATCAAATCACAGACACGTGGGGCAGAGTGGAGCCAAGAAGAGACCTAGTTATTTCTCATCTGATTGAAACAGTCAAGCGCTCTCTAAACTACCTAAATGGTTCTGAAGGAAATGGGAATCTATTTTGTCTCCTGTCACAGGGGCTGCAAATCCTGATATATCTCAAGCTACAGTTGAGAAGCGGATGGCTCA